AGCACGGTCAAAAGCTGAGGAATGAGAACTTCGAACGTCCATCTGAAGAAAATGAGAACGTTCCCTTAAAAGATGAGGATGATGCAATGCCTCAGATTGGTCCTGAAACTTTGCTCTGCCATGAAGTAGACTTGGATGACTTGGATGAAAAGGAGAAGAGCAGTAGTGAAGACACAGTATCGGAAAAGCCAGACCCTAATGCTTCAAATTCAAATCCATCTGCCTTACCCCCTGCTGTCCAGTCGAGCTTTTCAGTGGCTTCACCTCTTACTCTTAGCCAGGATGAATCGCGCAGTATCAAGAGTGAAAGTGACATGACTATTGAAGTCGACAGTGTGGCAGAAGAGTCTCAAGAAGGTCTCTGTGAAAGCGAGTCTGCTAATGGATTTGAAGCCAGTACTACGTCAAGCAATTGTAGCATAGCCGTGCAAGAAAGAGAGATTGGAGAGAAAGGTGAGCACTTCCTGTGAAAAGTCATTCTCTGCTGTAATGATTTCTGAAGTCATCTGAAGTCTGGTGTTACTTTGCTAAAAATTACTGGTTTGTTTTGTCTTCCGGTTTTAAATTTCTCTGTTGCTTATAAGAAGAGCTTGTTAGTAGCAGAAGTATTTGAGGTGTCTCGTCTTTTTTTTTTCTTTGCGTTTAGGTCAAAAAAGACCCAGTGATAGCAATAGTGGAACACTGGCAAAAAAACAAAAGCGTACTCCAAAGCGAACAAGTGCTGCAGCCAAAAATGAAAAGAACGGAACAGGTACATTCCTGGAGGGGGAGAGGGGGAGGGCTATGCTGTCCTATGAACATGTATAAGGGCTCGCTGTTCTCAGTTACCCATTATTTCTGTTGGATGGGACTTCCTTGTCAGGGTTTTTCATTATTATTCGTCATGATTATTGGCTGTTAACTGGAGAGAACTTACCAGCTCTGTGGTAGCAGTGTTGCTGGGAAATCTCTTGGCTATTTTTAATTACTTCGTTAGGAAAAACTTTTAATAACTGTGTATATTAGCAGTTACTAAACATTTGCCATTATGCAGATTTTTATATATTGGGTTGGTTATGAATTTGGGAGAGGGGAGCTTGTTCTGAATGGAAACATCTCTTTCACATGGTAAAAAGTGCATTTATGAAGTACGGAAAAAATGTTTGATGCTAAAGAATAACTTCTCAGCAAAAGAAATCTTGTTTATCTTAAGTATGTGACTTTTTTAACTTGCTATAGAAATCTGGATTTTTGTGTTTCCGTAGCTCATCTTTGGTGATCGTTGTTTTGAATGAGTCAATATATTTAGGCCCTGTGGCAGCATTGTTATAACTTTTAAATATCAAACTAAAATGTTAATTATCTGACATACCATATATTTATTTTACATATTTTATATTTACATATTTTACATACATATTTTACACAGGCATATTTAACATGCCTGTGTAAAACTTTGCAATGATTGTGGGGAATCTAAGATATTTGCATATATCAGCTTAACGTTTTCTGTTACATGTTAAAGCTTTTATGCTTTTAATCATGTTTCAGAACTGTTCCTTTAGATGTGTAAAGCAATTTGATAAATATATACAGTCATGTGCTACCTACCTATATTAATACAGTTTTGATATTTAAAAGAAGGATTCTAGTGTGTGCTTTATATTAGAACGCCAAAGTATATGACTTAAGATAGTTTATCAGTGCTCTAATCTTATTTTAATAAGCTTCTTTATTGCTTCTGTAAAAAAATTTGACTATCGCTTTTTAACTGAAGGCCTAGTCAGCCCTTGACTTCTCCTGCATTAAGCCCTGGAGGGAAGAGGGGCCCAGGAAAGCTGGGTAATATTCAAGTATCACCTCCTTCAATCTCAGGAGCGATGCATCCCAACAAAGAGGAATTCAGGCAAAAACGCCAGGAGGCCGGCATGGATGAACAAGGAGCTCCTGGACAAACTCAAACAAACACAAAAAGGAAGCCTACAGAGGGTGGAAGCAAGGACAGGGAGCCTGGGAGGAACAAAGAGCAATTGTCTGAGCAGCCAAGGATCAGGTTAGGAAAGCTAAAGCCCTGGTAGAATTAAATCTGGCCAGGGACGTCAAGGGCAACAAGAAAAGATTCTATAGGTACGTTGGGGATAAAAGGAAGATGAGGGAAAATGTGGGCCCTCTCTGGAACGAAATGGGAGACCTGGTTACCCGGGACACGGGGAAGGCAGAGGTAC